AGTGCGGCCGTCGGCGGGGACGACCTTGTCCTTCTCGTAGAACAGCTTGACGTACTTTGCCTTCCACTGCTTGGTCTCCGGGTTCTTCTCGCAGAAGAAGATGAAGCGGCAGTCGCAGTCAACGTCAAACTCGGCCGTCTCGGTGGCGGGAGAAGCACCATTGCCACCAGTGGAGGGGTCGAACTTGAAGCGGTGCGTGATGGTGGCCTTCATCTTGCCGATGGCGCGGTTGTTGCTGCTGCTCAGCTCGACCAGTGTGCCGCACTCACGGTGCATGATGAAAACACCCTTCTCCTTGCCGGCCTTCGAGATGGCAATGAAGTCATCGACATGTTGGGGACCGCTCCAGGCTGATCAGGCGTGGAGTCGTCAGTCGGAGTGTGCTTGACGGGAAAAGGGAAGAATCAGACTTACTCGTCCAGACGGTGGCATCCTCGGTAAAGAGGTCGCGGTAGTTCTGCCACTCGGAAGCGTCACGATAAACAGGCCAGCCCTTGCAGAGCTCAGAGACAGCAAGGCGGTCGCTGAGCTCATTGGCGGCGCCGTTGATGTGCGAGTAGCACTTGGTGTGGGGGTCGATAGGAGAAGTCATGGTGTAGTCGGATCTGACACTACTTGGGAAGTTGTTGAAGATGACTTGAATGATTGAGATGGGGAATGGAGGGATGGTCCGAATGGAAGGGTGGATGGGTAGAAGAAGTGGTTGCGGGGAGGGAAATTGTGTGTGAGGTTCACGTGGAAGCAAAGGGGTTTTTCACTTTGTGTGCTGGAATATTCAAATTTTCACCGCCAAACACCTTGATCGCTCCTTCCCAGCTGCTTGCTGCTTTATTGTCACAGACCGTCATTCTTCGGACGGAAACCTGCTCTCACCCGCTAGCGCGCCCTTTCGGCAACATTTCCGGCTCAACTTGCCGGCCATATCCGGGCAAGGAAGGAGGCAGAGGGGGATGTGAAGTCGGGAGGAAGGTATTTGTCGTTTTACGAATACATGGTGCTGTGATGCCAGTCCTGGGGAGGCCTTGCCTTGGTTGGCACGGTGTAAGTGGCAGGGGTGGCGGCATGGTATATTTGTTTTCCAGCTTCCCAGGCTTCCTACCGCTTCCAGGCTTGCAGGTTGTCAGACCCGAGCAGGAAAACATATCCAGAGATCCCCTGTTTCCATATCGGCTGGCAAATCCACCTCGTGGCACGGGTAGATCCGGAATCCCGAGTGGTTCAGTTGCTTTTCTGGTTCAGCCCGACCAGACTTTCTCAAACTGACCAAGACCCGAGAATTGGGATATCTGGGCTCTTCGCAGTGCGCGACAGGGCCGTGCTCCTCCTGTATTCCCGCTAGTGCTCGGTACCTCGTTAGCCGAGCTGCGGTGAGCAGAGCCGCCATGCCATTGGGCTGTTGTGCACGCGGACCTGCACCATGTCAGAGACAGGCATGCAGGTCCGCCCCTGCTTCAGGTGCACATGGAAGCTAAGGTACTGTATGAGGATGGGATTGGGCATTTTTTTCAGGCACTGAGTGCCGTGTTGTCGCTCCCCTGCATTGACTTTTGCTCACTTGACTTGGGTGTTGGTGACGTCCCAGTTCTGCTTTTTTTTTCTTTTTTGCTGATCAGCGAATGTTTTGAAGATCTTGGGTCTTCACCGCCAGCAAGAAGTCTTCCCGGCTAGTCCGGAACACCCTACCCAACAACCAGATTGCTGGGACTGTCTCGTGTGTCCCGAGTGTTTCCGAGTTTCACTTCACCCCCTTGCACAGTGTACGGATAGCGGTCTGATGGTTGGTGGTTCTAGACTTGGCTCGGGTTAAGTTCGCCTCAATTCAACCGAGAGCGGTGAAGGCAGCCTGAACCATGCAAAATGGATTCTGGACTGTCTGCATTGTGTCTTCTTATTAGAAATTAATCTTGTTGATGCCGTTGCTTCTTGTGTTTGTTACATTCAGGGGTGAATTGGGAGGGTTAGGGTTTGCCATGGGAGAACTGAGAGCCACCTGGCACCCTGGCTTAGCCTGAGCTGCCCCGCCATTGCCCGCCAAAAGGCCCTTGCTTTGCCCCTCGCATCCATGATCCATCGCAGAGCATCGCATTCCTTGTTGACACAATCCCATCTCCGACATCGCCGCACACCATGGCCGAACCCATCAACCATGTTTCGTCGCACGGCGAATTTGATTCGCTCTTAGCGACTACGAAATATGTCGTCGTCGACTTCTATGCCGATTGGTGCGGGCCCTGCAAGGCGATTGCGCCGCACTTTCTCAAGATGGCCTCGACATTCTCCATCCCCGGTTATCTCGCCTTCGCTAAGGTGGATGTCGACAACGTCAGGTCCGTCGCCCAGAAGTACCAAGTCGCCGCCATGCCTACCTTCATGTTCTTCAAAGAAGGGAAGCAGGTCGCCGTCAACGGCAATGTCACGATACAAGGGGCCAACCTACCGACCTTGACGCAGGCGGTCGAGAAGATGGGGAAACTCGCAAAGGCGAAAGCCGACGCTGCCGCCGCAGGAAGTGCTTAGGCGTAGGTGAGGATGGCGCGTTAGGGCGGGAGGACAACTACATTGGCGACGAAAGAGGCAAAAGCCCCAGCGCATACACAAAGATACCCCCGTTAGCTGGCAGCTGGAGCCCTGAATTGTCGGGAGTGGGCGTGGCATATTGGCAATAGAACACCGTCTTCTTGTCGATTCTCCATTTATTCATCCGCTCCAGTCCTGGTGTTCGTCACCACCGGTTAGTGCCAGGGGAAGAAATTGGTTCCGGGTTAGAGGTGATGTCATACTGCAACAGCGCCCCTCCAGTCTTCGTCATGTTCGGTCGGTGGCTGAATTGTCGGACCCATCGTCGCCGCCTGCTTCTGTCTTTTACCCAAGAATCGAGAACTTCCTCTCGATAACGACCGAATTTCGACTGGATTCAAGAGACCGCTTACGCTCAAAACACAATGCCCGAACGCCCGACCAAACGGCCGGAAATGGAACAACGCCGAGCAAGCGACTCGGTTGCCAACAGCGGAACCCAGACCAAAGACGAGCTAGTATCAGGAGAGCAGGACACAAGCCTCGCGAGAGCCCGGAGCCTCGACCGCCACCGGCACCTTGTGCAGAGACGGTCTGCTCGAGATGCCCAAGTTACCCGAAGGCCAGACGAGGCGATGACACCAACACCACAGCATCACCCGAACCGTGGCGGCGCCCCTGCAGTCAGGTTGGACATGGACCTGGACATCGACGTTATTATGAAGGCCAAGATAAAGGGTGAAATTGAGCTGTCCATTCTGTAAGTCTAATTTCAAGTCGCGCCGTTGTAAGGGCTGCATGAACCTGACGCTTTTAGTGACTCGGAGGAAGCCAGCCAACAACGACACACCAGGCAACATTAGTCGACATTCGCTGCGGCCTGCTGCGCAGTGAGTGGGTTGCCGATAACAATGTCTGATTTCAGGCACATGGGTCGACCTGTGGGGTGGTGGTGGTGGACGGTAGTGGCGGTGCTGTCTCGGTCACCTGGTCACGCGACGAAGTTGACTGATCGGACAACTGTCACACCTCATCCCCACGAGTTGCGCACATCGCGTGCAGGAGCGAACACAAGATGGAGGGAAGAATAAAATCTGGCACGCAGCTCAATGCGCGTTCCTGGCACCCCTGAAGTCAATCACCCAGAGATCATTCACTCCAGCTCTTGCAGCTCGTCGCATTTCTCACCGTGGATTTCCCCATCAATCGAACCAAGCGTCTGGCCAGCGGAATAATACCCAGCGTACATCAAACACTCGAAATGCCATCCTCGCGCCGTTCGCGGCCCGGCTCGTCAGAGCCCAAGAACTCAAAAGCGCCGCCGGAGATCCTCCACCTCCTCGGCCGCGCAGTCCTCGCCTACTCGCTAAAGAAGCTCAGTGAGCAAAAGGCACCTTCCAAGTCCCGATCCCAAAGTTCCCGACGCAAATCCAGCCGCAGCAAGCCCCGAGAGCCCTCCGCAACCAGCAAACGCGGCAGCAGCCGCGATCTGCCCCGCAGCGACAGCGGCGACATGCACGCGCTCATCAGCCAGCTCGCGGTTGGCGCCTTAGGCTTTGGAATCCGCGCCCTCATCCGGCGCAGGAAGGAAGCCAAGAAGAAGGCCGCTGCGGCTGCCGCGCAGGCCGGCGCCCGGTCAGTTCCTGGCGAATCCGGTGGGGCCGGGGACAAGAAAGCCGGCGCTGGCGCGGTCGACCCGGAGCTGTCGGCCGCCCTGGACAGCGTCACCCAGGAGCTGCAGGGCGCGTCCGAGTCGATCAGGCGGCTGGCCCACTCTGCGCCGCCGCCGCTGCACCGCGAATGCGCGGTCCGGGACGCGCTGGTGGCGGACGCGGACCGCCTGACCGGATCGCTTGCGAACATGCAGGCGAGTATTCACAATATGAAGAATCTACACCCGGCGCTGGAACAGGGGAGGCGGAGCCGGCAGCAGAGTGAGAGAGGGAGGGGACGGACTGACGTGAGGGAGAGGGGCGGACCGAGGGAGAGGCGTGGTCCGTGGGAGAGGCGTGTGGAGGGGTCTAGGGGGAGGGTTGGGGTTGACCGCCGAACAGAGGAGGGCATGACAAGGAGCAGGGAGATACCACGGGCAGAGGAAGGCAGGGCGAGGAGTAGGACGGTAGATTTGTCAAGAGAGGAGGTGATCGGTGAGGGGCACCGGCGTCACAGGGAGCATCGAACCCGTGTTCAGCCTGAAGAACGGCATCGGCACCGTCGCAGGCGGGACGAGGAGGAGGTACAGCGTGGTCGTCGACCCGAGCGAGCGGAGCGATGATGGGTCCCTTTGACATCCAACGCCCATATCCCGGACCATGCAACTTGCTCGGTCTCCGCCCCTCCGGCGCCGTACCTGTCCGGGGCCCACATGCCAAATTAGCCTTCGAGCCGCAGCCCGCCAGACCCGCTTAGGACCAGCCCTAACCACGACCTCCACCTCGTCCCCACCACATCACCACCAATATCCCTCGCACCCTTCATCAAACGCCCGCATGGCTCAGTGGTAGAGCGTGTCACTAGTAAACCTAGGCAATGACAAGGTCGTCAGTTCGATTCTGGCTGTGGGCAGATCCCTCCATCAGATGCCCGCATGGCTCAGTGGTAGAGCGTGTCACTAGTATTTCTAGATCATGACAAGGTCGTCAGTTCAATTCTGGCTGTGGGCAAAGTTCAGGGGAGAGGGTGTCGCATTACTTTTGCTGCCGTGCTGTTTTGCTAGGTTGTCAACGAGGATGGTTAGAATGGGGGTTTGCATTTGACATGGCCTCATAATGAAGGTGCTTTTGGGGACGCTCCCTCTGCCTCTACGGATACAACCCTCTTATAATAGAAATGGATGCGCCTTGCACTTAACCTCCCCAAAGCTGCCGTCCCTGGGACATCGTACACACAACCTAACCCCTTACCCTATCTCTCTCCCGGCCCTTTCCCACCCTGTTATAGAAAACCATCCTTTGTAAACGTAAACGGGGGAACTGAACCCCCACCACAACCACAACCACCACCACCACCACCCCCCAACCAGCCTCACCCACCCCCCACAGAATGCGCCCCCCTCGACCCCCTCCTCGACGACCCCGTCCCCGTCCCACTACTATCACCCCCACCGCCACCGCCCTTCCTACTACTACCACTACGCACGCGAATAGACCGGTGGTAGCGCCAGACAAAGTAGAAGAAGCCCACCAGAAAGACGGCCAGCAGCACGCCGACGACGGCGCCGATGGTCACGTTCTGCGCGTGCATCGACGACTCGGCGGCCGTGTCGCGGGCGCGTAGCGGCAGCAGCAGCCCTCCTTTACTGTTGGGCGGGGGTGGTGCTGCTGGGTTTTGGTGGTTGGGGGCATGGCTGCGGCTGGCTTTGGGAGGGTGGTGGGTATCGCGGGAGGGGTGTTGTTGTTGGTGGTGAGATTGGGGTTGGAGTTGGGGTGTCACGGGTTGGGGAGGACGGGACCCGGGGGGATGGGTGCTGACGTCGGTTGCCGCTGGGCTGGTGGCCGGGGAGGGAAGGAAAGGGAGGCGCGGGATGTACATCGCGCACGGTTACGCCGCGGGGCTGCTGCCGCTGCCAGTGCTCAGGGGGGTTGTGTGGTGTCTGTCATGGGACGGGGACTGGGTAGCGTTGGGGGGTAGATCGCTGGGTCATCGGATATGGGAGGTTGGAGAGCAGAGGGTTGGAATGGGAATGAGAGCATGGCACGGGCTCACCGGGTTTCTCATGAGGGTGTACCCATCCTTAAATTGTCTCACCGGGAGCAATGCGCTCTCCTCTGTGGGCGGATGATTGCAGGGCGGAACTCGATGACTGGCATCGCGGGTGCTGGCGAGAAATCTCTGATTGACCAATTTGAAGCCTGCGGGGGCAGCAGGGCTGCAGAGCGCAGAGATGCAGCAGCGCGGGAGGGCTCGTTTGGGACCCAAGAACCCTATCGCAACATGGGACCGCCGCACGAAGAAGCGCAGAAAGTTCCCATCCACGACCGGAGTCCAGATGGGCAGCTGCAGTAACATCGACCGGCGCCCGTCACTGGTTGTTGCAGGCCAATGACTGCATGAGAACCAGTGGGGCGGTAGTGAAGAGACCATTTGACGAATGCTCTGGCTGTCAGATGACGGAGGACGGCAGGTTGGCGGCCGCTCGGCCCGTCATCGGCGGACGGACTCGTGCAATGGGGTGCTCACTGCACCCGAAGTTGGACCCGAAGAAACCTCCCAATGTTAGACGGCCTTGACAGGTGCTGTGCAATCTTGGTGGGGGAGGGATCGGAGAAAGCTTGCGACCCCAAGTCCGGCTGAGAGACGGCGGCGAGGAGGTCTCATTTCACCGGTAGAGCTCATGGCGAATGGGCCAAGGAAGGTAGGAAAATTGGGGCCAAGTCCGGTGACATGCGGGGAAGCCGCGGGGCGACAACCTACTCACCCCTTCTCGTATTGGATTGACAACTCAGGAGGTGAGGCTTCTGGGTGCGAATGTTCAGAGGCGCCTGCCGAAGTTGGGCAACACGCGAAGCGTTAGGCAGTCCCTGAGCTAGGCGGAAACGTCTGGATTTGAACGGTTTCTCAAACGATCAAACACTTCTCCCGCATACTCTTCAACTCGAGTAACCAATTTCGTCTTCCTTCTCTGGCGGGCTCCTGATCCCTGGCATCCCAAAGCTGTTGCAACATCTGCATGGCGGTCCGGATATATCCCCACGGACATATCCACGGGTTTGTCGTCCACACGGCCTGCATCCGCTTGATGCACCAGGCGCGCTGCATCGGGTCGTCCGTCTGGGCACCGACGACAAACGTCGGCCATATCGTCCCCTTCAAGTGGATATGATCGATAGGTACGGCGGCTAGGTAACCTAGGACTTCCTGGACGAGCATATCGACCGAGGAGGGGAAGGGAGCGGCTTCGGGGACAGCGAGAAGGATGTACAGGCATGTGGTGGCGCGGTGGGCTAGCGCGATGCTGAGGCGGATGCCGAGATCGTCTTGACTAGAGAGGCCACGGATGTTATGCACCCACTCGACGAGGTCTAGAGACCGGGCCTGGTGAAGCAGGGAAAGGGCGTCTTCTTCGACTCGACTGTGATCACCGCGACTGCATAAGCTGCTTGCCGAGAGAAGGATGTGGAGAATTTCTGGCGGGCAGCAGTGGTAACTAAACGCCTCGGCGCGCTTCAGGATGGACAAGAACTCGGTCGAGTCGTGCTCGGGCCAGGATGTCAGGGCCACCCCGTTAATGGCGGATCCGAGGACGCGGTAGGTGAGGCAGTCGGCAGCGATGGCGTTGACGCAGGCCATGAGTCCCTGGTCCAGCTGCTCATGGGCCGGATAGCGGAGCGACGACATGAGAGCACTGGCGGCTTCAATGTGGACTTGCCAGTTCCCCTTGCCCGAGTCGATCAGATCGATATTGATGAGAAAGACGGTGGCGGCTAGCACCATGGGTTGGTTTTCGGGCGTCATCCTGCCGACTGCGGACCGAAGAAGACTGATGGCTTTGCCTTTGGCCACCAAGGCGTCGACTAGCTCGGGTCGCCCGGGTTGGTTTTGGTGCCCATGGAGGGCGGTGAGGTGCATGGCCCCTGTGGCTACGATGACGGCCTTGAGGAAGTCAAACTCGTACAACAAGGGGATGATCACGCGGAAGGGGTTGCAGTCATGCCGGTCGAAGGATACCAGGTCACGACACACGGTCGTGGAGACTGTGGGTGTTAGCTGAGGTTAGCAAAGGTAACGGGAACGGATGGTTTTAATGCTGAGTTGTTCTAGGGTTGCTTACAATGATGGACATAGTGTCTGGTTCGGTGGGTCAAACCATTCAACAAAGGGTCAAGGAGCGATGGATGGATGAAGAGTGAAGATTCTTGAATTGGAGTTTGGAGTGGAACTGAAACCGGCTTCGGTTCGGGCTTCCCAGTCCTCTTCACGCCTAACTGTCCCACCAGTTTCCCGCGGACGGCCGGGGCATTGGCCCACCGCAGGAGGGTATCATAGCCAAGACAGTTCTCGCCGGAGATGGAACACTTGCGGCAGGATGGAAAAGAGCGATCGCAGCGGAGACGGCGACGACGGCAGTTGTGGCAGGCCCGGGGCTTTGCGGCTACGGGTGCGCGGTCAAGCCCTTGCATCGAGGTGTTGGATGCTTGGACGGCGTCTTCATTCCTGGCGTTGGATGGACGAATCGAGGAGTGATGTTGGGGGCAGGTGGTCAGCCCAGGTTGGTGGTGAGTCAGGTCTTTCCCGGCGCAGGTGATTCCGGAAGAGCCTTCCTGCACTGAGCTGAACTGACGGCTCCGAAGATTAAGACAGTGGGGCCCACTTTCCCCACCATTTCGGCAGCCATCGGCGCCGGTTTGGGCAATCCGGAGACGCTAGGCTCAAAACGGTACTTAAACAGCACGACTTGCATTCGCTCCAGAATTTGGCTTATCAATCTCCCAACCGCAGAAACCGCAGAATCGGAGAAGATTCTAAGAGAACTACTGAGGCACGCCAGGGTCGGATTTCGGAACGGATTACACCCGGAAATGTCTTTGACGAAAATGATCTGCATGCGAGATCCCCTCATTGCCCAATTAACTGTCACTGTTGATTCAGAATGGTTCCTATTTTGGCCACTCAAAGTCGGATGAAGGCCAATGTGGGGGGACTAGGGGTCCCTCCATTCGCCATGCCTTGCAACGCTAAACCGAAAATGGAACCAAATCTTCAACTTGCAGGTTCTGGATCTCGTAGGCGCGGGTGGGTGTCGCTTCAAACCAAAAAAAAAAGAGAGTCCCCGTGACTAATCGCATCTCCGTGCATCAAGTCGGGCAGTTTTCGCCCTTGCTTAAAACCGAGGATTCCCATCATATCAGTCAAATCAATCACTGGAGCATGGAGGCATTATTTTTGACAACACCACCGCCCTCATAACACCTACCCATCAACATGCACCGCAAAGACGAGGAGACTCAGGAGAGCATCACTGGTCTCGGCACTCCCCCCTCCGGATCCGATGACAATGATGGAGCAGATACGGCGCCGGTGAGCCCGGAGCTTGATGATATCGACCTCGATCAACTCGGCCGCCAAAGGCCCGCCGTCTTTAAAAATGCGGTCTACGAGATTCTGTTCTGCAGCTCCCTGCTAGTCTCCATGTTCATGGCTGTAAGCTTCCCCTTACACACAACTCGAACTTGTGTTACCACCTCGTACATGGACTAACCTCGAGCCAGGAATTCTTCATATCAGGCTTCAACATTATCCTTCCCAGCGTTTCCACGGCCCTCGATATTCCCAAGGATTCCCAGACCTGGCCCGCGAGTGTCTTCTCCCTTGTGACCGGTTCCTTCCTTCTCCCCTTCGGCCGACTCGCCGATATCCACGGCGCCTACATCATCTTCAACGCTGGTATCGTCTGGTTCTTCATCTGGACCTTCATTTCTGGCTTTAGCGTCAACTACCAGATGCTCATCGTAACCCGGGCTTTAGGTGGCCTTGGGCCTGCGGCCTTCTTGCCGACGAGTATCATGCTGCTCGGCAAGACCTACCGCCCCGGACCGCGCAAGAACCTGGTATTTAGTCTCTGGGGC